TTTTGAACTAGCAGTGCCGTGAATGCCGTTGTGACGAGTGGCGATGTGTTTCTCGAGTTGGGTGAGCTTTGTGAAGCAGGCACGAGGCCGCAGAAGGTCACACGAGGAGACTGCAAGAGCAATGCAGGTCAATTCAGCTATGACGAGGGCTCGGGACTCAAGCTCAGTCATAGGAGCTTACACGACTCAAGCAGAAGGTTTGATCAATCACCACGGTGAGATGATTATTGGAGACTTGCTGACCTGTCATTGGCATAGGGCTCAATGAAATTATTGAACACCTCCGTTTTGAGGCTCTTCTGAACGGTTCCCCTCCGCATGATATTTCCGAAGGTCAAATCAAAAGAATGAAGGCAATACTTTCACTGGTGGAGGATAATGGTTATCTTGGTTCATCAACAGCCAACCGAGCCCTTGACTTTTGGATCTGGTGTGGGCTGATGCCTGGGCGATGGGCCTTGACTCCAGATCAAAACCTCTGGGAAGAATTTTTAGAGGAGGACCTGTTATATAAGTCTCAAGGTCAGTGCAATTTCAGGGCAAAGCAAGGTGAACAGGGGAGGTATAGAGTTAAAATTGTTTTTCATTTTCGATTCACCAATATTCTTCTATCCAATTAGTTTTTTGGATAGGGATAACCTTTTACATGAGACAGATGGAGCTAACCTTGCCTAGATGGCTCAGATGCACGAACGCAGGCATTGCCCGGTTTGTCCACGTGGATATCTCCGACTTTTAGTGTCAGCAGAAGGCTTGAATAGCCACTCAAATTCCACGCCAAGCTCAAGGCTCGTTATCTGGTGAGTATCAGTTGGAATTCATTGGTATACCAGAAAGGACATTGACATAGTCTAATGATCCTAAGGGCAACTCCGGAAAGAGAAGTCTTACAGACTCCTTATATGAAAAGTAATCCAATAGTGATGGCAAATTGGAATACAGGTCGGCCAGGAACATGGTGGATGGGAGGGACATATGAATGGTAGCATCGAAAAGAGGGGGTCACATCGCATCCCTCATGCAGGAAAGCGTGCAGGGCTTGGGAGACCTCGGCCCATTGGATATTCGCGCAGAAAACCAAGTGCAAGCGCTTTGTCCGCCGAAATTATAAAAAGACGTGTGCCCGTGTGCCCTATGATCCTTCCCCCCTCCCCCCCCAAACTAGTGTTGGAGTTTGACTTGGTTTGTAATTAATTCGCTTCATATTCTTTGTCTTCGTCAAGCCTCTCTACGTCTCTTTGCTCCTTATCTTTGAACTAAACCAATATATTAGAGCGAGGACATTTTGTCTACTTTGTTTTGAGTATTGAAACTGTTGAAGAGAGCCCGTGCAGCAGAAGGACTAGCGGGATATGCACTAACTTTCTAGGTTCCGCAGTAGAATACATTACGTATCAAAAGCCTGATTACACTTTTAGGTATCAACTTTTGATCAACTATGGTAGCATGTGGTGTCTTATTGGGAGCGAAGGCGACATTGCCGACGGCAGACTGATCCAGAAGAGCCGAAGAGTGCTTCATCCTGGGCTAATTAGAAGATATACTGCATAGGAAAACGTGAAAAACAAAATTACGGTTCTGTGACCGAGTATTTATATTCAAGAGATTGGCTTCAAGACGTTGCCTACTCCGACTAGAGAGCAGAGTCAGCAAAGGTCTATATTTAGCTATAGACTTAGTTAGATATATATTTAAAGCATCTTTCCTCTGAAGCTAAGTTAATTCTTGCATTGTAATGAGATATTCGACTTGGGTTCCTGTTCTAGGGACAGAAAGGTCGAAATTTATGCAACATACACCCCCAGGATGGGCTTTGAGTCAGGTTCAGGTTTGGGTTTTAAGCCTAACCTACAGAACCCTACGTTCGGGCTTTAGGTCGAGGGTTATAGAGACACATAAGAACGCAAGAAGCAAGGAAAAACCGATGATACGCTAAATGAGGCTCAAAATAGATGGAGAAAGAGGAAACGAAAATAAACAGCTCTATCTACCCTGATCCTGTCGCGTGATCACTCAACATGGGATTCGGCGCAGCCTAAGTAGAAGCAAAAAGAGTGCCCGATAGTGTTGAGCAAGGATATACTCAGTATGGAGAAGGCTCAACCACTTTAGCTTATTGGTGGTCATTCGGTATCCACCACCTCGATCCTCCAGCTCCTGATCACTTTTTACTCTTTGGATGAATCACCATCAGGCTGTCCAATAAGCATTTCTCTTACATATCATACAGTAGCTGTATTTCCCCGGTAAAGTATAATGATGCATTTTACGGGCTGTGAGAACGAATATGATAGAGCAGTGAACCCTTAGGGTGAGGTTGGCGCGTAGCTTACGCTTCGGCGAATGAAGCTGTCAAGTTCTAGGAATAAGGTTATATTCCTGCCCCGATAGCTGCAGATACTAAACTGAGGCGTTATCAATATAGTAAGGTAGACGTAGATGATATAACACGTGAGCATATCTTGTGCCATGGCTGACAGCCCATCTGGATAAGGCGTCAGTTGCTTATTTCTGTGAATCCCCGCCGAAATAAGCAAATAGTAGAAGATCGATTCTCGGGTTTACTGAGTCGTGCCTTTCCTTCACATCCCTTGAAGCAGCTGCAATACAAGCTTACTAGGACCAGTGACTCATTTGCTATGGATGTTGGAGAAATATTATTGTTCTATAGGGTGACTCCAACCAAAGTAGGACATGGAACAGCAAATCGACCCCCACGGGCTGTAAGAGCTGTACCTCACTTCACTTCGGTTGTTCAGTCACCTAGAGTGTGTTTGGAATCAAGCATTCTCCAACACGCTTGTGGATCAATGCCGCTCTCAGAAGCTAGCTTGCACTCCAGAACATTGCGGAATTCAATCCTTGGACTTGGAAAACTTTGCTACTCGCACGCAAGGATTGTGCGATGCCATTATTATGGCGTGCATGCTACTAAGAGTAGCGAGGATAGAAGTCAGATTATTCCTGTATTCTAGACTTAAGACTTGTACACATTTCCAATTATACCATATATACGTTCTTGGATCTCATTTAGTTTACACCTCTGGTTACACGCAGTATTCAGTCGCTTTGTAATACTTTAATAGAGTGAGTTGCACATGTCCTTGAATGATCCGGGATAGATGGAACAGGAAAGCATGTCAGAATCCACCCTTTGACCATCCAGCGGACAATTAAATCCAAATTGAGCCCGTGCTCTACTCTAGCAGCCCATTTTCTCTACACCTCTTGCCCCTTCCAAGTTGGACCGCTATGCCGAGAGCTCGACGGAGATGAAAACCCCGATTAGGGGTCAGTCTTGCGGTTGTGCGTGATTCTCACCCGGCTTTTCAACCTATTTGTTGTTCTCATCATCCTTCTCACCTGGCGACACCCACCCGGCTATTGGCCGCACATGAGCTGATTATTCTGCACGATCAATACTCAATGCACCCTCAGTACCCAAGCAGCACTCTAAGGTGAGTTCGTTTGATATAGGTGAGAATTCTAGAAACCGGGGTGGGAGAGGTGAGAGCGTGGTGACAATTCTCACTCTTGTTCTCTGTGGTTGAAGATCCCCTAGACGGCTACATAGTGAAACTTGGCCGCCCTAAAAAAAATCAAAGTCCAGTCTCAAGGTGGCCGCTATCACTGGTGCATACCCTCATAATGCCATGCTTGTTGCCTGTAAAACAGACATTGGAGGTCAACATGGCTCCTAGGTTTACGAGCTCCTGCTGGAAAAGGGATACGAAGTGCACGGTCGTCCCATCCAATTATCTTACGGTTTGGTTATGATTGGGCACCAATACATTTTGTTTCTTTCTTCTGTTATCACCTCTTAAATTAATTATGAGTTTCGTGGAAGCTAGTTCCGAGAAAGAAATCGGGTTTGATCAAGACCAACCATTGGTAAAAAAATAAACACTCTGAGGCCTATAGTTGAGTTGTGGAACGATGGAATGTTGAAATCAACTAACTTCTACCACGCCAAAGATAAGGAGGTTTTCTTCGGCTACAAGTCAAAGAATAAGCGCGAAATGATCATCGCAAAATTCAGTTTACCTCTCCGACACGTCCAGGACAAATATATATATCTAGAGAAGGGCTGGATACTTCTTTGGTTTACGTGGAACGACCAGGCCCACAGTAGTACGAGGATATGATTGGCACAAACTAGCTCCCCAAAGCTGCTCTTAATGAGACAATCGCTGGTTATAGAGAAAATCTCTTGATGATCTCACGAAAACATAATCCAATATTACAGCTATCGTGTGAAACACGGTTATATCACGTTGATCGTTCTAGAGAGGCTTGACTGAAACATAAACGAATATATCAACCTCCGATTTTCACTAGCTCGACAAACTCAGCTCTTTCAAATCTCTCAAGTCGGCGGTGGAACGTCTACAGACCCTAGGTCTAGATCATAGCGACATTAACCCAGATAACATTATGTTAAAAAATGGATCGCCGGTATTGATTGACTTTGAACTGTATCAGCCCTTTGGGAAACGATTACAGTCTTTGGGCATGGCGAGATGGTATAAAGGTCCATTTTATTCTTCTGAGAATGATCATGACATGTATTCTCTTGGAAATATTTAACCAGTGCAGTACATGACACACCCCGTCTGAGGTGTGACAACGATCTTTTCTGACCGTAGATTACTCCAAGGGAAGTGAAAAAGAGCCAGGAGAGATCGGCTAGTTGTAGAGGATCTATTTTTACAAGTAGTTTTTAGTTGAACCTATACTATCTTTCTAATGATAAGTTAAAACTTAATAGTTGTACTCCCAAACTAATAGCTAAATAGAGTACATGAACTACACCCTTAAATACTGCCTACACTACTTTATTTCTAAGTAGTGAAAACCCTAGCCCTTACTACCCTAATTAGCTAAGTACACCTATACTGATATATCAAGCGTAACTACAGGGACACCCCTATTTTAAGCCCTCAGGCTTTAACCCTAATCTTTAAAAACAAGTAATATAGGTGCAATTCCGTTCAATAGCTTCAGCTGCTCGCAGCCCTCTCCAGTAAACCCCTATCGAAGTAACAATTCAAGTGCCAGATTTGTAGACCATCCGTGCCGCATCCCCCCTCAGATTTGGCAATCTCGTAGACAAAAGCTTGGGCCAGAGGTACTATTCCCTTTCCACCTTTGAGATGCAAGTTGTTTGTAGTCTCCACAATCAAGGTATGCTTGCCAGTTGTTTCATCACTCAACACAGTGATTGAGATTAGGTCATGCTCACAACGTTCGAATTGTCCGTAGATACCGATGTAGTAGTCCCAAATCTCCTTAGCCCCAGAGATGGTAGACGCATCAGTGTTCACCAGGGTCGCAGTGGAGGCGTAGTATTTGGTCGGGGGTGTTGTGGTTTTGGCGATGCTGAAGTCCACCGCATATTTAGCGTACCAAGAGAGAATCGGGTTGGTCGAGAACACCGAAGGTAGGTTGCCAAGATTCAACGGCCCTTTGACCACGGTGGTAGTGACGGTCATGCTCAAAAGTATAACGGATTGAAGGATAGGCTGGAGTGGATGGATAAAGTTGCAGGAGCAAGAACAATCCAAATTATTACTTCCTGAAAGAAATGTTGTGACATTAAAATTCAACATGAAGCGGAAGCTCCCGAGGTCGGCATAAATATTACGTTCTTAACGGTTGGTTATGTACATTAAACTGTTATAACCCTCGGGATCGCATGTTGATCCCTCGGAGAACTAGACCTCGGCAGGGCACTGAAACCTCGGGAATTACCAGGAAAACCAAGTATAAAAACTGCGATACATTCCTAGCAGCTACTGTAAATGTAGTTGCTATAATTGAAATTAAGTCTGTACCAACGTGAAATTATAATAATACCAGACCAGTATACCGTTCACACATCAGGAGATGGCCATATCGAGGTTTCCATCGGGGAGAATGATATTCGGACATCTACCTCCCAATTCCACCGCAACAATTCAAATTGGGTTGAGACACAGCTTATGAAATCTACTCCCAAACACCACCCCTACTGGTCAAAGAGATATAATCAGTATCCATATTCGTAGCAAGGAGACTACCGGTAAGCTCTCTAGAGATGATACAAAAACACCTAAAGGGAAACCAGCCTTATTCACTAACTCCTGAAGGCAAAGTGTTGATAGCAGAGTCATTTGCTATACTTTATAATAGAGGTATTACTAGTAGCTAGACATAGTGCAGCCTCTATGGCCATTACTATAATAGTAGCGTTAAACGATATGATCGCCGTGTATAAGCCTCATGGCTCTCGCTGAACGATTTCAAGGAAACCATTACTAGTAGGGCATGATTCTCTATGGAATTTATCATAACATCTAGCATACTCTGTTTAGAGTAGTATTTCTGTCTTTGTGCGTATTATCTAGGGGATAAACTTTGTATCTAAAGATGCTGACTGCGTGCTGGCTGCTTATGGTAAATCACACCCAGAAACAGCTTGAAATGCTGCACGAGACACACTAATTCCAGATAAGCGCGCTTACTGTCATCTCGCTTCATCAGATTACCGAATTGCCTAATGATTTTCCTCTTCTTGTGGGGGGAAATAGCACAGATTCGAAATGCAACGCGTGCGGTGGTAACTGCGGCGCCGGAATCCAGCTCAACTGCTTAATGCAGGATGAGACTGAGGGTGCATATATTTTTAAAGGTTGTGCTAAGTGGGGTAGTTGTGTACAAAGTACTCCGTATTCCGTACGATGTTTCAATTTAGCGCCAGATCAAGATTCCACAATGTCAGCCAGCCACAAACTACTGTGCAAACCAATTTTAGGGCATTTCGCATACCCCTCGAATATTCACCCCCTTGCATGTGGATTGATGAGTCTACCAAATAGCTCTAGTATGTGCATTAGTTAGAGATTCCCCCGACTAAAGGAAATCTCGATGATAATTCTTAATCCCCCTCCTACGGAGCACTACTTAGCTTCCAGACAGAGGCACGTGGTGGTTACTTACTTTCTTTCTTTTTTCATTGGCTTATTTTTGAACCCCTCTTACGGAGGACATCGAGATCACTTTCCTCAGGAATTGTGTCAATATGGATTTTTTTCGGAATTCCCAGGCTCTCTTGGCCTTGAGTAGTGGTGTTGCTCTCCACCATCTGTTCTACCGCTTAAGCGAATGGGATACCAGGTCTCCATTTCTATTGATTTCGTATATTTCTGTCTTGGTCGTTGGGAGTGTCGGAATTTGGTTTTTAGATAGCCAAGCGCAAGTTGTCGTCCCCTTCTCACCCAATGAATTCCGAAGGTGTTGGCTCTATCACATCCTCGGTGTATTCAGCAGTATGCTGGTCTACCGAGGATTCTTCCACAGACTGGGCAAATTTCCGGGTCCTTTCCTTGCGCGCTTGTCTAACCTCTATCTGACAATGTTGTCTTCCAAACTTCATCTCTACGAGGAAATTGGCAAGCTTCATGAGACATATGGGGACTATGTTCGAACAGGTAATCTAAAAACTCCTCCTTTCGCGGAGTTTATTTTCTAAGTACTCCTCATATACAGGTCCTACCGAAATCTCAATCACAGACCCAGCAGCAGTCCAGATTATTTATGGTAATCAGTCCAAGGCTACGAAAGGCCCTTGGTATACATTGCTCGACCCGCGAGTTTGCCTATCCTTCACCAGAGACAAGCAAGAACATGCGCGGCGTCGGAAAGTTTGGGATCAGGGATTTAGCACCAAGGGTGATATCTTCTATTTAGACCGTTCAATGAAGAATTCACACTAACATCAGAACCCCGTTAGCAATCCGCGCCTATGAGCCAGTCGTTGCAGCATATGCCCAGCAACTTGTGGAAGTTGTGGAGCGAGACCTTGACAGTCCAATTGATATGACACGTTGGTTCAGCTACTATGCCTTCGATGTGATGGCAAGACTTGCCTTTGGAAAATCATTCAATATGATTGCCGAAGGTAAAGAGGCCTACTTCCTGAAGACAATCCGGACTGATATGAAAGATATTGGCCATCTCAAACATATGCCATGGATATTCCCTATCATCATGAAAATTCCGCTTCTGAACGCAAACAATTTGAGGTTTTGGAAGTGGATTGAAAACCAGTTCATGGAACGGAGTGCTGTAAGTCTTTTCTATGGATCGATAATTATTAATAGAATTTATGCTAAGCGTGATTTATAGAAAGAACCAGAGCAGCGAGATATATTTTCTTGGATTCTTGATGAGTATAAGAAGGGGCCCCAGTTACCCCAAGATACGCTTAACCTCCACGGGGATGGCTATCTCATTATTGTGGCGGGAAGGTGAGAAACTCGAAACCTGATACTTGATTCCTCTGAATGTTCACTTTGCTTACCCTGACTAGTGACACAACTTCTACATCTCTATCACATCTTTGGTTCCATCTTGCTAGTCACAAGCCTCTAGTTCAAAGACTTCAGAAGGAGCTTGATTCTCTTAAGGAGCTGAATGATGACGCGCTCTCCAAGATCGATCTTCTTGATGCCGCAATCCACGAGACCCTGAGATTACACCCGGCAGTTCCTTCTGGTCTTCAGAGACTCACTCCACCAGAGGGTCTGACAATTGGCAAGACATATGTTCCCGGAAACACCATTGTCCAAGTACCTTTATATACGATGTTCAGAGGTGAGTTTACTCATGTGTTCACACGTTTATCAGGCGCTAATCTAGTCTTACCAGACCCACGAGCGTTCGAACGTCCGAATGAGTTCATTGCCGAACGCTGGACTACCAATCCTGAACTTGTCAAGGATAGATCCGTGTTTATTCCATTCAATATAGGTTGGTTTCGGTGGTGTATAGGTAATTATAAGTGTGCTGATCAAATTATAGGATCGTGGGCCTGTGTTGGTAAACGGCTTGCACTCATGGAGCTTCGACGAGTGACTGCAGAGCTCCTTCTTCGGTACAATATTTCCCTTGATCCAGGAAAAGGCAACGAGTCCTTTTTGAAGGACGGGAAAGACACGTTTACCCTTACTGCTGCACCGCTACACTTGAACTTCACCAAGAGACAGTAAGATGCAATTGGAGGCCAGGGTAGTATTTAAACTCTTGTCTAGTTAGTTAGTAACCATGTATTTAATGCTGATTACAGTATCCAATTGCGAGATAATGACACTTGGAAGGTTTCTAGAATCAATATATATTGTCTCTCCATCTAAACAAGGTTTAATATTTATAAATTCGACATTGGAATTATAAAAACTGCATATTTGGGAGCACCTAATCCCATACCATAAAACAAATCAAATGTAAGATGGGTTGCGAACAAGCACTCTTCGCACCTTGCACCTCAACCCCACCTGACACACACCTTTGTGCAGCGGCTTTTATTCGTAAGTGCTGAACACAGTGATGGAGGTAAGGCAGCACATAGTAGAAAACCGGTGGGCACAAGTTTATTTCGCAGCCCATACGACATGCAGTCAACAACCCACGCGTTGTCTTGCACTTTCATCATATGTGCATTGCTCGTCAGCCTCATAGCCCCCCAAATAGCTGCCCGCCACGTATTAGGAGCCGCAGCCCCGCGCCGACGCTCCATAATCACCATCTTGCTTTAAGGCACCGATTTACCCAAAGCCATCTTCATTTTGTCTAATCTCCACCGGCCTTACTTGAAGGATCTGCGACTCTCACTAGTGTCCCGTCCGAATCTAAACTAGATGGATCCATTTAGCATCACCACCGGTGTTCTTGGAATTATAGGATTCGCTTTATCCAGCATCAATAATCTTCGTTGCATTATTGATGGACTTGAGGAAGCGAACGATGTGATCCAAGATGTCAAATCCAACTTGAAAGACATCCAGCTTCCGCTTTCCGCTCTCGAGAATCTTCGGATTTCCGATAGCACAACTTTTGACGAAGCGAGAAGAGATTTAGAGAAGACTGGTGTTGCCGAAGCCGTTAATAACTGCGGTCAAGCATGCGCTGCGTTTACAAAACAGCTTGAGAATTGGACGAAGCATTCCACTACTACAAAGCTTTCCCTCAGGGATCGACTATCAGTCGGCCTGTGGAAGAAGGAAAAGATTCAGACATTCCGGACGCAGGTCTCTTCTTGTCAGGCTATCGTTCAGTTTGCCATAGAAAGCGCCCAATTGTACGTGATTGAGTTTGATTGGCAAGAAAATATGCTAATTAATTAATCGAAGGGTTATTCTGGTCCGATCCGAAGGTGCATCCCAAACTGCACGGCAAGAGACAGAGAAGCAGCTGAAAGCTCTCGAGGCTGCTATCCAGGAGCATATCGAACTCACAAAGAGAAAACAAGACGAAACGTTGCACCGCAAGAAGGAACTCGAAAGTCCTGGGGCCGAAGATGAGGATGAAGACGGCGGTGCTCAACGAACTCTGGCCATCCAAGAGACCGAACAGCAATCACGCGTACTCGAAACCGACCAAACAGCCTCTAAGACTGTGACTGAGATAGTTTCAAAGTTGTCTGTACAGCAGGCCGCCAGCACATACAACACTCATTTTTCAGGTAGCCACAATACGGGCATACAGATCGGTCACAGCATAGGTACGATCAATTGGAATGGTAGTCGCGCCTAATAGATGGTCACGAGCCAGATTTATACTCCTACTTGGGGCATACGGAAGGTCAAGCATTATAAAATGGACGTTACTTAGCGATCTCGCAGTTCCGTGGAGCTTGGTGGCCATCTGAAAGCCGTATGCCTCAAATGGCGCTTGCAGGGACTGAGCCGCCATATGTTAGCTCGATCATAGCCACAACCAAACTATGACGTTGTATTGTTTATACTACAGTGGGGACAGCCGGCACTGGTGGGTGCTTTGAGTACAGTGAAGTTTTAATATCAACGCGTGCTCTTATCTGGATGGATTTGATTATTTAATCATTTCTTGTTGACCGTGATCTGACTGTTCTGGCCCGGGTCGATCGGATTCCAGAAAGAACACGGTAATAGCAACCTGCGTAGGACCAGTACTAAGTAGATCAATAGAATGCTCGATGTGGGCTGTCTACTACCGATCTAATCCCCTGTCTTAGCGCCGTGGAGTCACCTGATGGTGGACTTGGGGGCTGAGGATGTGCCCCTCCTTCAGCTGAGATTCAGACAATAATCGTTCGCGAAAATACAACAGACACACAGTGGTTTGACCATGGCATCGACCTCATTCTACGGAAATAACTCTGGTCTCCAGATTGGAGTTCACACCGGTCCGATCAATCTGCCACCAGGTGAGTCGGGAACTCGACACAGTTAGGGTCGACCGACTAACCGCCACTTTCCACCCTAGAGCAACCAGAAACTCCTACCAACCCATTATCGACTGTCCCCTTCCCGCGCGACGAGGAGTTTGTCAGCCGTGACGTACTCCTTCGTAAGATTCACGAGAAAGGCTTAGTCCCGGGGTCGAGGATAGCACTTGTTGGCCTCGGTGGCGTTGGGTAAGTACATATCTAGCAGTACTTTTATTGTCTGTTGCTCACAGCTCGAAGAAAATCACAACTTGCCATCGAATACTCTCACCAGATCCGAGCCCAATCTCCGACAACATGGGTTTTCTGGGTGCACGGGAGTAACGAAGCCCGGTTCGAGCAAAGTTTCCGGGACATCGCAGACCAGGTCAAAATTCCGGGTCGTCAGGATCCCCAAATGAATATCTTCAAACTCGTCGAAAACTGGTTTCAGGATCAGAAGATAGGAAAATGGGTCTGCATCCTTGATAATGTCGATGATGACCAGCTTCTTTCGATGAGAAACTCAACGAATGCCTCGAACAAACCGCTTCTAGGATATATTCCTAGAAGCCGAAATGGATATGTCATCATCACGAGTCGGTCTAGAGAGGTGGCCTTGAAGTTAGTCGATCACAAGGGCATTATTGAGGTTAACCCCATGGAAAGTTCCGAGGCACTGGAGCTCCTCCAAATAAAGCTTGGCCAACCAGGGGAAATCCAGCAAAGCGAAATCCAAGAAAGTGAACAGTTGGTAGACACGTTAGAATTCATGCCGCTAGCGATCGTACAAGCCGCCAGCTATATTCGAAATCGAGCGCCTCGCTATTCTGTGTCACAATACCTGACAGATTTCCGAAAGAGTGACCGGGAAGCGACAAAACTCTTGAAAAAAGAGGCAGGTCACGTCTACCGGGATTGGGAAGCAAAGAATTCAATTTTAGTGACTTGGCAAATCTCATTCGATTATATTCGCCAAACAAAGCCATCGGCAGCAGATCTACTTTCTCTTATGAGCTTTTTTGATCGCCAAGGAATACCTGAGAAGCTTGTCCGGCCCCGACCTCAGACCAACTACGGATCAAGGTCAACCTTGGAGCCTCTAAGTGACTCTAGTGACGGGGAGACATCTGAATCTGATACTGGCCCTGATTTTGAAGACGACGTCATAACACTGAGGGATTATTCATTTATATCTATTTGTGAGAATAGCACTTTTACGATACATCGGCTGGTTCAACTGACTACGCGCGCGTGGTTGAAATCCCATGGAGAAATAGATCAATGGAAGAATCAGTCTATTAGCACCCTTTTCGACGAGTTTCCTGATACCGGGGAATACGAAAATTGGGAGAGGTGCAGGCTGCTCTTTCCTCATGTCAAATCCTAAATGTTACAACCGCCGACATCAGCTGAGTCTCAACAGCGATGGGCTACGTTACTTTATAGAGGTGCATGGTATGCGTGGCTAAGCGGTAATATCTCGGATATTGGAGAAATGGCATCATTATCAAGAGACCAAAGAATCATTTTATTGGGCGATGAACACGAAGAAGTTATTAATAGCACACTTATGTTGGCATCGTCATTCGTGCTTGAGGGTCGGTGGGAAGCGGCGGAGCAGCTCCAATTACAGGCGATACAGATATGCAAGACGAAGCTCGGCGAGGATCATCCCACTACATTGACGAGTATGGCGAACCTAGCGGTGACATTTTCCGACCAGGGCCGGTGGAAGGAGGCCGAGGACCTCTAGGTGTAGGTTATGAAGACTAGCAAGATAAAGCTCGGAGAGGATCATCCCGATACGTTGGCGAGTATGACGAACCTAGCGGTGACATTTTCGGACCAGGGCCGGTGGACGGAGGCCGAGGACCTCCAGGTGTAGGTTATAAAGACTAGCAAGATAAAGCTCGGAGATGATAATCCCGATACCTTGACGAGTATGGCGAACCTAACGGCGACATCTTGGAGCCAGGACCGGTGGAAGGAAGCGGAGGACCTCGAGATGCAAGTGCTAAAGATAAGGAAGGCGAAGCTTGGCGAGGGTCATCCCCAGACGCTGATCAGCATGTCTAATCTCGCTCATACCTGGAAATCTTCAGGTCGCGATGCTGAAGCCATCGATTTGCTGCGAAGTTGCTTAGCCAAGCGGAAACAAATAATAGGCCCGGATCATCCAGACACTTTGTCTACTTCTGAAAGATTGTTGGAATGGGAAACGTCTCAACCGAAGGGGCTGGAATGAGAGACATCTCAACGGAATAGAACAAGAAACGCGGTCAAACGATCGTTTCACGAACTGGTCGTGAACTGGAGGAGGAGATAATACAAGACAGAGAGGGAGGAAGGAGAAGCCTTCTCTCTACAAACAAGTTCGGCACAACCTTGTCGGAAGAATCGAGTGCCAACAACCAGATGCCAACCAAACAAAATCTCTCAATATGAATCGCTATATAAATAAACTGGATTCTTGAATGTTCCACGTTTCGGTATACTTCAGCTTAATATCTGTATTGATTTCTGTCTCATGATATACCACCTTAGTATACACTGCTCGAAATGGATTGACCTTAGAACTTTGGTAAACATTGATGCCAAAAGTTCAAAGAAACGATAGGAGGAAAGTCGTTAACGGGCGAGATAATTGGCTGCAAGAGGCCCGTATTGTTGACGCGGGGGGTACTACAAATACTTTATTGTTGATGTCTACGATGGTAGACGATGGTGTACAATGTGTAAATTGTAAGAGAGTTTATGTACAAACTAGGAAAGATGACTGACTATATAGTCAGTAACTATGGGATGGCGAACCTGTGGCATCTGAGAGATAACAAACATTTATCAACCCTCCTATCATCAGGGTATCTTGCAATCCGATTAGAAATACTCGAAAGTGAACCAAGTCAGAACATTAAAATGGCTTGCGTCTGTCGGAATAAAATTCAATATAGATTGTAGGAAAGCAAAGTGGCGAGAATCCATCATGAAGTGAAGGATGAATGTTTTTTAAGAACAAGAAAATTCAAAATTATCACTTTCTGAAGAGAACCTTGTGACGATAAAGCTCAAATTCAAGAGGACGCTGGTAAAATATTATTTGTTAACGGCCTTCTAGTTAATTATTAAAGATCTCTGGGTCGTTGATTCTGAAACTATATTTTCCCATGATATCCAACGTGTTGATAAATATACGATGTTGGATAATTTATTACCCAAGAACTACCTGAGCTACATGAGATACTATGTATACATTGACGTGTCAAATCAAGATATATATATAAACACAAGACTATGAGATCAAATGAGTTCAATTTAGAGTATATTGTTAGTATCCATAGAAATAAAAATAGTCCAGGCAGATAGGAAGCATCAGAGAACCTATTTGCTGACATAAAGATATTCTCACCATTCAAGCAGCTTTAACCTCGACAAGTAGTTTTCCTGCGAGATATTTAGCACAAATGCACTGTATGTGGAGAAATAAAGTCTTACCTGTGTTCATTCCATGATACAGTTGCGTCAAGGCGGTTTCTGCTTGCAATAACCCACCACGCACAATGGTTTCTCTCCGTTGCAACTGACCTTCCGCAAGCCACTGGCCAAGCTTCCCTCTGACTTCGGGTATCTTATCCATATGATCAAAGACGATAAAGCCTTCCATGCGAATCCGCATTCTCCAGATCATCATGTAGTTCTTTGGCCCTTGAACCTCTTGTTCATTGTACTGACTGACCCCACCGCACATGACAAATCGAGCATTCTTGTTGGCGCAGAGGAGGGCTAAGTCGAGAACTTCTCCTCCGACATTATCATAAAAGAGATCAATCTTTCCTTGCGTCAAACCTTGGAACTTTTCGGCGAAATCTTCACTCTTGTAGTTCAACGCCCCGTCAAACTTGAGGTCATCAACCAACCAACGACACTTCTCGTCTGAACCTGCAATTCCGTACACCGTGGCACCGTGGATCTTTGCAATCTGTCCAGCAATAGACCCCGTTGCTCCTGCTGCTCCGGAGACGACAACAAAGTCCCCGGCCTTGACACGGCCGACTTCGACCATACCCCAGTATGCAGTGACTCCTGTCATGCCAAGGACGCTTAGAACATCGGTCAAGCGACCTCCATCCGCAGGATCAGGCGTAGCCACGGCTTCCAGAGCGCTTTCGTTGATAATTGCCTGCTCAGTCCAGCCTACCATACCGACGCCATAGGAGCCAACTGGAAACTTCTCTGATTTTGAGGCAGTTACGCGGCCCAAAGCATAGCCGCGCATGATTTCGCCGATTGCAACTGGGGGGAGGTATGATGGACGATCGTCCAACCACCCTCGCATCGCGGGATCCAGGCTTAGATAAAGGCTTTCGAAGACAACATCTCCATCTTGAAGCTCTGCTGAAGTCGGAGTTGTATGCTTTTGTACAGCAAATGTCTCCCCTGGAACAATATTTGTCTCGGGGCGCTGTTGAAGATGGATAGCGATATGTTCGGAAGACATCTGTGCATAACTTAATGTTAATATGAAGGAATGAGAAGCAAGCTTTGTAGGACCTTACTATTCAGGTAGTCGCTTATGTGACAGAAGAATATTTGAAAGAATTGAAGTGGTAGTGAAAAGGAATACTTACCCTACATAAGTACAACATCAAGTGCCCCCACCGCAGATTACAAATCGAGCCCGTATCACCGACTTAAATCCATCTACAGAAGCCCGAAGATAAAGGAAAAGCAGCTAGTTATCCATTCTAATTGGTTTACTATTCTAGTTGGATTATACTAAAGATTCGTGTATGTTGTATGAATCAGACCTCGGGATTATCCCGAGGTCCTCAGATTCCGCACGTCATAGGATCCATAGCTGAAGTGTCCGCTTTACCCGTCCTCTGGATTCGGCGTTGCTACTCCTTTTTATTACTAGAAGGATACTCATCGTGTATTGTAGCAAATGAGTCTAGATTATAGAGAGGGAGATATATAATTATTAACAAGAGACATAGTATATATAGAGCCTTGACAGTGCTAATTCCATGTTGTTGGGATGGCTTGCTCTGTAAATATGTGCTTAATATAGTCAGCACTTCATGAATTTGAAATGCGTTCAAGTTCGCTTAATTTGTGCTCTGTTATAACTGCATCCAGATGGACCCGGGGGTTCGGTAATATATGTAAAGACAATTCCCATTCATCCTCCCTCCTGACTTCTTTCAGTCTAGTGGTAACTTCCCCATACACTCGGTCTTGACACCGTCTACGGAGTATTCGCGTTCTTTTCTCTTGCCCCAACTACCTTCCTTTCTCGAACCAGTCAACATGGCTCCAAACTCCTATGAGGAAGCCGTGGATCAATACGTGAATGTTGGCCCAATTCGTTTTGCATATCGAAAGTTCGGTGCCGAAACAGGCATTCCTCTCACTCTCCTAATCCACTTTAGGTAAGTACGCATCTATCATCGGGATCACTGGCTACTTGCAAGTGCTAACAACGGTTTAGGGGCTCGATGGATCATTGGGATCCAGCGTTCATTAACCCGCTCGCCGCCTCTCGACCCATAATCCTGATTGACAATTCCGGTGTCGGTCGATCAGATGGTGAGGTCCCATTGGTCATGAAAGAATGGGCTCAGAACATTATCAATGTTCTCAACGCAATCGATGTGAAACAGACCGACCTCCTCGGTTTCTCAATGGGAGGATTCGCCGCCCAACTCGTCACCCTCAACGCACCGTGGCTCATTCGTCGACTCATACTAGCGGCCACCAGTGCCAGTATTGGCGAAGGAGTTATCCCTCCCAAACAAGATCCAGCAGTCATGAAGCTGAAAGATGCCGAGACCCACGAAGACCTGCGCCAGGCCTACATCGAAGCTTTCTTTGGCGCATCGGGAAATTGTTTAAAAGTCGGGGCTGAGGTATGGGACCGTATTGTCTCTGCCAGAAACGAAATTTCCGCATTCCTTGGGTTTGAGGGGACTTGGAGGCAATTCGCCGCCTTTGGGAACTTCCTTCTCGACCCTCGCCAGGCCAAAGACGGTTCTTATAACCGGCTCAATGAGATACATATCCCCGTCCTTGTTGCAATTGGTAAGAACTCTTGTGCCATGTTTGGAGGTGTGAGCTAACACTGAATGCTTATTTCAGGGAGCAATGATGCTGCCATTCCCACTTACAACAGCTACGTTTTGTGGCAGAAATTGACCAACTCCAATGCGCAGTTGCACATCTACTCGGACTCAGGGCATGGGTTTTTGTTTCAGTATGCAGCCGAATTCTCCAGGCTAATTGGTGAATTCTTGGACAGCGTTTAATCAACAAATTATGAGCTGTCCGTGTAATTCCTTGTAGAGTAAGGTTTTCAATATCCAACATAAAGTGAAGGCATACATTCATTTACTAATTAGGAACAGTATCTCGAGAATGGTGGAGGAATAATAGACTATATCCACTTCAGAAAGAAAGGGCATTCGGACGACTGTTTAGGAGGTTAGAGAACTGCATTGGAGTTCGATACATGAGCCCATGATGAATGATCTCGTTGATGAAGTTTCACCGTACACAGGTTTTTGTTTGACCCTTTTTGGGGGTAATATAACAAAAATCTGGTGTATGATAATGTATAGTATAGATCAATAATAGTTATGCTATCTTCAACTAGCTAAAATGAGAAGAACGGGAATTTCGCCACCTGGGTACCTAGGCAGACAATGTGACTAATCTTGATATCCACTTTTATACCCGTTAATAGAATCTACCAAATGCCGGGCTGAACAGTTCAACATTTAGCAAGAGAGGAAGGACCGATCGCAATGAGTTGAAATATTTTTTGGCGGCTGATCGCACTAGACAGAGGAATATGCAGGTGTGACCACGCTTTGATCTAGCTGGCTGATACATTCAGCGAAAGCATTGTGTGGGATCTTTTGCTATCATGATTGGTTATTAGAAGCTCAACACAATAGGCTAAAATCTAAGACAGAATCAGGGGTAATAGTTCCGAGCCTATAGCAAACAACCTAGAACTACAATGTCACAAGAACGGCCCGAGGGAATCATTAGAGTTTGAGCATGTATACCTAATAGTTTCCAAGGCATAGACGACCAAACATTATGCCTTTTTTTGCTTATTATTGCAACAGTACTGACGACACACAATTCGCTACAACACTATTGATAGCATTAATGATATCATAAATCTGTCTGCCAGTTCCTGAGAAGGCGCGGAGTGATCCCGGCTCCCTGGGTGCTCCTGGGATCTCAACTGACATTCCTAAATCCCTCATTCCCCACCCCTGCGAATCAATTTTTAGTTCCAGGGAATCCTAATACTCGCTGGATTAATGCTGAGGAAGTCCGGAATAGATGCAACGAGCATGGGTTTTTTTATCGGTTGACATATTTTCCAGGCAGTGACCGCACTGATCGCTTGCACTGACCCTTTAAGGAACCCATTCGGAGCTACATGATTCAGGACCTATCAAGAGCATGTATAGATTGAATCATGAAATGGCTTATAATATACCTATAACTTGATGTGGATAAATCTCGGAGAATACGCTTAACATCACTAGCTATTCAAAAACATTTGACCTCATCGTGTGGGTGTTTTGCGTATGATTTCCTCTAAAAGGGCTATAATTTCGGCGTGATTTTTATTTTGAGGTTGAACAAATGAAATAGATGTCTCGGCAATAGTCAGATCTCGGCCATGGTCAGCTATGCAACTTGATCCCGATTAGGCCATCGTGTAACCACCACTACGCTAAGGCCTTCTTAGGCTAAATACTTTGTATATACTACTTGAAAAGTAGTACATAAGTTATGCGTAGGGTGAAGGACATGCTCGGCCTTCTAAATGATTATGCGAAGCAGTGGCTACCGTCGGATCTGTACAATGAAGTAGCCAACACATGATGATACGTGAAGGTGACGCAGGAAACAGACAGTTCAGATGAGTTTGGTTCTAATCAAGAAAACGAAAGAGATCCAATGAGTAGAATCAGCAAGAGCTTGAAATACCCCAGGAAAAGCCAATGGCTCGGATGCTACAAGTCTGGGGCGGGCCGAAACCCTATACGTAAAGTGTAAATATAATATTGCACGGTTGTGCCCGTCAAGCCACATCCATACTTATCAACATTCGTCTGACGAAATATCCATGCCATAACGTGTGACCTGCGTCCATTGAGGTACTGCAGCTCCTGTTTTGATCTTGTTTGATGTCGCATTAAGCCATTATTCTTGCATTACTGCATGAGGAAGGTGAGCTCTACAAACACGAAGGGTGGCTCTGACGTGTTCTTACTGCCTTTGACTGCCGGAATCAGTCCAGTTAAGAAGAAGGCTCCCACGCAGCTAGCCCAGGGGGCATCATGTAGCTAGCCTAGAGGGGATTTATGTTGTAAACAGTCCCTCGCAACCGAAAGGGTGTGAGGGATTTTATGCAGCCTCGTTCTTTGTTGAAGGTAGTTGTAATTACCATACCACTCGTAATCACTATCCATTAGGTAGCGAGGTATAAGTATCAAGCTATTCAGCAAGATATTGAGAGCAACAGACCATTTCTTTTCTCTCTTATAGCTGCCCAGTAAGTAGGTGGAACACCCACTTAAAAGACAAGCTGATACAAAAGTTTCCAAAGAAAGAGGAGAACAAAATGTTTTCACATCGGAGTGTCTCTCTCGCATTGCGTCCACCGGTTGTCTTTCACAACTCTATTCGCCATGCCCACCCAATACTTCTTGCGCGCCAGCAGACGAAAAGCCTCACGACTGCTACAGCCCCAAGTGACTTAGGTAGCACAATGCCACCAAATTATGTGGCTCATGTTGGGCAACTCAAGACATTCACTTTGCCTGACAAGGCCACTGGATCTCCCAGTGACGTTCAACTGGGGAAGGCTATGATCGACGCGTGGCGTCAAGATGGTATTCTTCAGGTTTCGATGAGTCCCAAGCAGCAGGATCTGTTTGATAAAGCATTTACTGCTAGTAAGCGGTTCTTTGCTATGCCTCCTAAGCAAAAAGCTGCTTGTGTGGACAGTCAGAGCTACGCCGGCTATATTGCCTCTGGGGAGGAGATTACGGATGGCATTGCTGATTATTCAGAGATATTTACGGTCACCAAGGATCTTCCTCTGGAGGAGCCTCGAGTGGAAGCCAAGTGGCCTTGCCATGGCCCTTGCCCTTGGCCAGATACTGATATGAGGACCCCTATACAGAAGTATATGGAGTCCTTGGGTAATAGCGGGGAGACGTTGCTGAAGATGATTGAATACGGACTCGATCTGGATCCTAAGACTCTGACTTCCTTAACCGAGGATGGATGGCACCATCTCCGTATTTTGAGGTAGGTTTCATGAGTTTTATTCAAACTGTTAATATGTTTTGACCTTGACATTCAGATTCCCTCAAAATAACAACACCAACGGAAAAGGAAAAGATGGCCGTGGTATTGGATCTCACACAGACTACGGTCTCTTGGTCATTGCAGCCCAGGATGAGGTTGGAGGTGAGATTCCGTTGTATTCGCCAAATATATAACCATTCACTGATCATTCAAGGCCTATTCATTCGACCCCCTGCAGAAGATGAGAAGCTGGAGAATTGGAAGAAAAGCGCCGCTGGCTTCCGCGAAGATGATGAACGATGGGTTTATGTACCTCCTGTGCCCGGAGTCTTCACAGTATTCCCAGGTTTGTCTTTCCCCTTGCATAAATACATCAGCATTTCTATTCAGCGTACTAAAATCTACATCAACTCTCTAGGAGATATTATGCAGTTCATGACCAACTCCTACCTGCCATCCACCCCCCACAAGGTCGGCCTCAATACCCGCGAGCGATTCGCCTTCGCCTACTTTCATGAACCTAGCTTCCAAGCTGAAATCTCCCCAGTTGCGAAGCTTTATGATGGCCAGCCTCCAGATGAAAAAATTCATTACGGAACCCACTTCACGAACATGTTCATGAGGAATTATCCGGATCGGATCACAACAGATAGGATTATAAAGGAGGATCGATTGAAGTTGTTGGATCTGCCTGAGCTGAGAACACAATAGGAACTTTAGAGGGATCACCCTCTCCTCTTGCTGACCTTCACAGCAAATGATTCAACATCACAAACATTTTCTCTGCCATCCCCCAACGAGGATGATTCAACTTTGTCCCTTCATCCTTTGAGTTCATCGTGCATTCTACAGGTCCCTACCTAGATAGTACTTAGTCTTTAGTGATTATGTCCGCACAGATTGTCAAACAGCGGTTTAGTTAAGAGTATTACATATCATTGATCTACACTATACATTGTCTGTCTTCCCATCGTTGCGATTATTTGACAACTTGGGGTTTTTTTGGTATCAGAGAGCTCTACGAGGTTTGGGTCATGTGTGCTCTCCATGGTCTCGTATATTTCTCTGGTCCATCTATAGCTCTATAGTTTTCTCTTCTTGACCCACGTATCTCACTCGTTTATTTCCTGCTTCTCTCTAGCAGGCCTTCCCGACAGTCCATCAAGCCCTTTCACCGGTATCATTTTCACCACGTGGGTCAAAAAGGACCAGCCATTTCAACCAACCTTGGAAGGTTAGATATAGGAATAATCTTAACAATCACTGACCTAGCGGCGATATTGCTTGGATTTTGAAGCTACAGCTAGGAAGGAGCGACGGGGCAGTCCCAAAGATCTAAGCCTGGGAGCTGCGCAGACCCGCGGCCAACCTTGGAAGGCTTAATTTGAGTCGGTTCGAAAATAGCTTGGATAAAGACACTAGAAGGAATTCAAAAGATTTCTAAGTCCAGAGCAGACTGTGATAATGAGCATCAAACAAGAAAGATGAAACCAAAAACACACAATGATGATTCGCTGGTCCCTATTTAGGCGCCCAGCCCAGCCCTTCTAAGGTTAGGTACCGAGCTAAGTAAACGCCCGGCTGCCATTTCCCAGGCTTCCGAGAATACTAGTATAGAGGGGTACGTGGTAGGGTCAAGCGCCACTTGAGAACATTCCTTTGATCATTCAACTAAGGACTCTGCACTCTGGGGCGCTTTCTTTCTTCCCGACAGTAGTAGGCTTATCGAAACTTGTCCTGCAATCGGCCTTCTGCACCACCAAACAGTCGACTTCAGTTTGTGAAATTCAAAAAATCCCAACTTCTGAGCTGAGGTATCGTGATCTAATATCGGTCCTAGGCCACTGAGAGACGGACGAGTCAGAACTCTTACAACGTTACCTGATTGTAGGATAAACAGTTTGCAGATCGATAGTCACGTACGGAGTACACAAACCTTTCCTTTACCTTAGCTTTCGCGGCTGACTTGCAAATTTACCCAGAATATTTTACCCAGGCACATCTCTCCACACCGATTGCATCCCTCATCGATCATCTTTCACACTCACACGCTCCCCGCTATGGCGGACCAGAAGCTTCAAATTTCCGACCCCCGAACTCGCACGGCATTGGAAAACGACCTCACCCTGCGAATTGTTCTCAAGGCTAAATATCGCCCTGACAAGTCCCGACGCTCCGCAGATGTCATTCCCTGGGCAGAGAAGCTTGCCGAGAGCGTCAGTCGCGCCGCACTCAAGGAAGTTGGGAAACCAAACGCCGACTTTGAGATAAGCCTGAACATAATTCAGATGCTCGGCTCGCCGGACTATGTGTATATCTGTTACGATATTTTCCGCGCTGAGTGCGATCGAAATGTGCGACTCCAGATCCAGGAGAGTTTGCAACAGCCAATTCATTATGCTAGTCGGAGAGGAGGTATGTACCTCATGCGGAAAGATATGCGTGTTCAGGCATTGGCATCTGCATCCTACTCAAATATGAGAAAACTCGACAAAGGTGACCTACCGCTATTTTCGGACCTGAAATTTCCGCCATGTTACATCTTTGGCAAACGCATAGAAGAGCCAGGGCGGAGCCAGGAAGAATGGCAGCAGCTCCGGGCAGAGCGAAAGAAACAGAATGCTCAGTTATCGGAAGGGGGTGAGACGATTCAAGGTGGCCTGGAGAAAGCTAGGGAGGGGTGGGAGCACGATGAGCCAACAGATAACCCGGTCCCAAGAGAAGAAATCCAGCGGGCTGAGCCGTCAGATGAGGATAAGCCAAAGGCGGGTAGCCCGGAGCCGGAGGAGAAGAGGGAAGACAGGCAGCACGACAAGCCACCAGCTGATGATGATTTTCAATGAGAGTGCATCCAAGAGGCTACGCAATTTGGTAACATTACGCTTGATTGGAATCCAGAGTCGAGACATCGAGACAAGGTGAATATTGTGACCTTCTCACATCCGAACAAATTCTGAACGATCAGGAGACTGCATGACTTCAACATATAGTGAAGCTGGTCAAATGTTACACATAGAATGTATCGGTCCAATGACTTTCGGGTACCTTATTGTATAAGCTTCGGCTACTGTTCTAGCATACCGCTGCTACCAATGCGATAGCGTCCTCGAGTGGTCAGGATGGCTGGATCAAGGTCAACATGAATCTTCGCAGGAGCCACAGCCCAACCTAATCGCTTTCGCCAACAGCCCCCGCACAAATGGGAGACGCGATTACAATAAGGCTGTAAAGACAGCTCTTGCAATGGCCTGCCAGGTCATGCGCGTAGATGCGAAAACACTGGTCCTTCTTCACGCTGAAAGTTACCCTACTCCAAATCAGTATTACGGTAGTCGTTTGCAATCTTCAAAGGACGAGACTGTCCTGCTAACCCCGGGATCCTACTCTGGATATGGCCCTGTATGTATTTATTGGGTATCAACATGCAATATCCTTCGAGACGGACCGAAACAGGCACAGGTCTTAGTTATTCTTAATAAATTTATGGGAACAGGGAAGGCTAACTGGTACACCTAACTGTCCACTAAGACTGATGGAGCCTGTGTTCATGTGAAAAGCGACCTTTCCGGGGACATTGCTCTGGTGACAGTTGATCTGCTTCTAACATGGATGGGAGTGGAGAAAGCTCCTTCTGTTATAGGAAACGCCCAAGACAAGGATTATTTTGTAGAGCTGTCACACTACGTCTCGGACAGCGAAATTGACAGCCTTGAGAATGAGAGCAATATGAGCACATTCCCATATTTCTCGATTATTTCACAGTTTTTCGTGGGAAGAGAGTGAGGACATCACCAAGGTCAAGTTGACTGCAGATGTCATGAAAGAATATGTCCCCAAAAAGACCGCCACTATTCCAGACTTTGCCGAAGAGATCACATCTATCATAAACAGTGTCCCTGAAAGAGAAATGTATCCTTGCATCTTCCATGACCCGACGTTAAGCTTTCACAACAAAGAATATGGTACGACAGATGCGTATAATAGGCCCATCTCACATCTGACCCGATCTGAGCTTTTGCACATTGGCCGATGTTGCAATCCCGATGTCCTTCGGCAGTTCGGTGCTATCCTGACCAAATTGATTGTTGTGGTATCAGCGCGTGAGATGCCTGACCATATCTCCAGCATCAGTGCCGATTATGTGGCCAAGATACCATTAGTACTGGCATCAGAAAGGTACAATCGGCAGTTCTGGAAGCTCCTTTTACACACCATTGAGCCTGGAACGAAGCTGTCTGCTCAACCCGCTGCTCTTCTTGCTGCTCTCAGTCTGCGGCTAGGGATTGTGCCACTCATGAAAGTATCTGAGCAGGAGATGCTCGGTTTCTAAGACAAATGGAACGACCCTTCGACCCCCAGCTACGCTACGATGGAAAGTCTATCCACAACTCCAGGGAGATAATCTCAACTCTCAAGAAGCTCGTCAAACGCAGCAAAAGAAACGATGAAATATGTTCCCGGTGCTTCAACCGACACCATTACCTACACGCAGCCTGTGGACGCTATGGCTGCTTCCAAACAATGTGCATGTTCTGCCTGGTAGCATGGTACAGGCATAACTATTCAGGCTATGTGATCAACACTGCGACGCTAGGATGTCCATTTTGTCGCCGATACCCCACCCTTCCTCTAGTGGCGAAGTATGGGTTGGGTATTTATGTTGTTAAAGATGTCACCAAAGCACTCCGTGACAAGGGGAAGTTCATTTATGCATGGTGTTGTGAATGTGATACTGCTAAGGTGGTGATGGAGCGGACTTGTGTGCTTGGAGAACCTCTCCGATTGACGGATTGCATTTGTGATGAATGTCACGAGGAGATAAAGAGTGAAAAGAGAGAGAGTCGGGCAAGGCGACGCTGGGGTTGAAGGTATATAAGACGAGGATGATTGTTGAGGAACAAAGTTTCTCCAGGACAAGTGATTAATTGTTGGATATTTCATTCGTGAATTGTCTGAAACTAGCTAGCTACCTTGCAGAATAAAATCTCGTTTAATGCGAGCCACCCTTTAGCCCCAAATTAATATCGCCCAATAATTTAAACGAGAGAAACAGAGTAGTGAATGTGAAGAAGACCCCAATATAGAGATCTTCTAGCGGCGTTAGAAGAGCAAAACCCCGCAAAGAAAGTCACAACAATGGAAAAGATGGAAAAGCACAAAACATGAGGGGGTATGGGTAATGTTACAAAAATAGAAGAAATCCACGGGATGATGAGAGACATAGGGGAAGGGAATGTGAAGACTAGTAAGGCGAGTTGACAACGTCATCCCTGCCAAGACGACTGCTCCATCCGCTGCGCGCACGGTTAGGTGTGGCGGGACCAGCGATGCTCTCGCGCGTAGGCTTCTGGAAGGTACGCTTGGCGACCATGTTGACCTCGTTTGGCAGAGCAACGATGACATTCTTGTCAGAGCCGAATCGGAAGTTATCAGCCATGACATTCTCACCATACCGCTTGATAGTGTAGGGGTCCTTGCGGTTAGCAACAACCTTCTTCATACTCCATGTAATGATGAAGGGGCCGGTAGCGGTGACAATGCTAGTTTCCGTTGAGTCGACACCAGTGTTGAAGCGTGCGGTAGTGAACGAGAGAGGCTGTTTCGTCTCGTGCTGGAACTGGGCAACGTGTGCGGGCTGCAGTCCAAGACGGCGGGGCTGAGGCTTCGAGTCCTTCGCGAAAGCACGCTCGAATCCGAGCTTGCCCTCGTTCTTGCCTTCCTTCTGCAGCGAATCGATGAGGAGAAGGTAGGTACGGCAAGTTGCCAACACCCAGCGTCCATCTGCAGACACATCAAGGCCGATGATTGGCTCACCAAGAGCCGGGATATGAGTCTTTGCGTTGATGCCCAGTCGGTCGAACATGCGGATGTCACCCTTGTTAGATGCGACAGCAAGGTATCCCTTCTCAGTAGTAGCCACAGCCGAGAAGTCATTCTTGCTGGCATACTGCTTCAGGTCGGAATCGACAAGCTTGTTGCCAGAAAGACGGGGATCGATGCGGTAAAGGGCGTTCTTAGAGACACCGACGAATGGCTGCGCTGCGGTCATTTGTGCGAATTTCTACGAGTTTTGTTAGTTTGTCCAGAGATATATTTCAAGCCTGTGAGGTAACTTACGTTTTCAGGAGCAAACGTCTCCACTGCAATATCGTCATGGACCTTCCATTCATCGACGATTTTGCCGTACTCCAGATCCATCTTGTACAGCGAGTTGGGATCATCTCCATTTTGAAGAATCATGTTCTGATCCTCAGCATGGAGCATGACCTTCTTGGGGCTGAAAAGCGTGCCCTTCGGGGTCTCGACCTTTGAAATAGTCGTGGAGAATTCAAGGTTGTTGTGAGCGGTGTGCTTGAAGACGCCGATCTTGGACCCTCGCACAACGAATGACCGATCATGCTTGTAGCCGACTGCCAACTGCGAGTTGACGTTTCCATCTGCATCGCGTGTGACGAGATCTTCCTCCTCTTCGTCACTGTCGTAGTGTTCGCTGCGCTGAGCATCGTCCTGGTCGCCGTCGTATTCCTCTTCGGCCTCCTCCTCTTCTTCCTCAACTTGCTCCTCGATCTTGTCATCGGCATCTTCCATGGTAAGATCCTGGAAGGCATCAAGAACATAGTCTCGGTCATTCTCCTTGACTTTAGTCCACTTCAACTCATTGAGCTGTTCCCACAGCGCCTGCATCAGACCCTCCTGGAACCGTTCTTCCGAGGCTTGGTCCTTGAATCGCAGGAGCCATGAGTAGGCCGATCCATCTTCACCATAGTGGTTAAAGATGAACGAGAGATATTCGAAGTTAAAAACGGGGTTGATATCAGCGACGACAGCCTGTCCTAACCACTCCTTATCCGAGCCAGTAATTTGGAGCCAGTACTGCCAGGTACCAACCTCCGAGACAGTCGCAATGATATCCGACTCCTGGAGCACAAAGGTTCCAGTGGAAAAATCGAACAAATGCAGCTCAGCATTTTCCTTGCAGAGAATCTCCTTGGCTTCGGGATGGGCCGCAGACGGCGGGGCAGTAGTCGGTTCCTCCTCAAGAGTGGCAGTCTTGATCTGTCCTTTGGACTGAGCGTATTCTACGTCTTTTGCCATTGCTGCGACTGAATCTTCTGCTGTCAAGGAATTTCTAGTCGGCGAGGAGGCCGGACTCGCAGATGGAATGGGCTTCTCTTCGTTGTATGAGAATTCTTGCAACTCCGCCTCGGTAGCCTTCTGTGCGCTGCGGCGGTGTTTGCGTTCGTATTGACACTGGAGGGCGGCAAGCTCAAAAGTGGCAACTTTGTCCGATGGGACGGAAGAGTCGCAGATGAATTCAAATAGATCACCAGCGTCGCCGCTCAGGTCATCCCAGGCCAAGATCTTTGCACCTCCGTCACGGAGTTCAGAGCGGAAGTGGAGGGTTTGGTCCAGGAGGAAAACCTTCTCGTCCTTATCTAGGCCGTCGCCCGCGCCTTGCTCACCGTCGTCGTCCGCAAGTTCTTCCTCGCCCTCTTCATAAGCTCTCTGAATTACAAGCTGGTATTGAAAGTCCTGCCCGGTACGTCGGATCGTAGCAGCGGCGTCCTTGAAGATAAGCTCAGAGTAACCTTTGGGCGACTGTGGGCGAACCAGATACAGCTCGCCTTGAGGGATTTCGATGATGGACTCTTTCGAAGCGTCACCAAACAAAAATTTGCTCACTATTAAATTCAGAGAAGACAAGAAATTAGTTTACTAGTTCAAAACAGCAGAACAACCAAAAAATACCCTGGTATAGAGGGGTTTGGCGGGGCATGAAAAGCGCGTTGCTTACCGTTGCGGAGCATAAACATGGTTGCGAGGGGCAGCTGCCAAACAAAAAAACCAAGAGGCAGTTAAGAGAAGAAGGGAGACAAGAAGAAGTAAAAGGAAAGTAATCTGGGAAAGAGCGAAAGAAGTAGGCACAGTAGCAAAGGCTCTTCTGCCTATATGAAGAGGATAGCGAGAAAGAAGCAAAAGCAAGTCCTCAAGTGCAATAATCACAATGAAAATCGCTTCCGTCATAGATTCCAAGGTTGTGGCTGTTGTGGCTAATTGATGAGGTAAGCACCCGAGTTCGCCCCATGCCCAAATAGGCAATATGCTTTTCTACATTCACGTTCACTGTGTTTCTGCATCTTCTAGTCAGGGACAGCGAGGATAAATATAACAGATAAATGGTCTTAGATTTACTGAGGATCTACAAATCTGGCAAAAGTCAGTAAAGCATTAACAAAAGGGACAGCAGAGCTCGAGCAGATAAAAAGAACCCCTCGCAGAAGACAATCATTACAAGACTATTGATACAAGCGCATCTTCGTATGTTAATCGCTGACTAGCTCCCTTTTGCTGTTGTATATATTTACAAGGTATTCGTTGGGTAGCTCACACTATTCCTTCGTTTCATTTTCGTCCTCACTTCCTTCCTCCAAAGCTGCAATCTCTTCCAGCTGCTTCATCTGGTCTGCTTCCATATCTTCCTCGTTCATATCTTCAGCATCATTCTCAGCGTTGCCCTCACCCTCGTTCTGGTTTGCATTCTGGTTTGCTTTCAAAGCGCCGCCTTTCCGGGTAGGAATGACCTTCATAAATGCCTTGCCCCAGTCACGAAGCTCCAACCATTGAAGCATGATCTCAATGACATGGTTGGTGGCCAGTACCGGACGATGGGCCATTTGAATGTACTGCCCAATAGGTAATTTGGCAGTTTTGATTCCCTTTTCAACGGCCTGGTTGTAGCAAACTGCCTTGTGTCGGTTCTTATCCACTAGCGCTCCGACAATATAAGTGCTGTAAGGCTTCAGCTCGGTCAAAGTATTCTCACTATCACTGCTGAGATAGATGATCTCCCCGTCCTCGGGCTTCGCATCGGTTTGTTCGGCGAACGGGCCAGCGAGTTGACCTCCTCGCGCGGCTGTCATTTGTCCTTTAGCCAGCTCACCAGCACGCACAAAGTCTTCCTGCAAAAAGCGAACACGCTTCCAGTTTTTGTGGCACGCCAACACGGTGTCGAATCGCTCTTTCAGTAATTTGTTGAATGACGAGAACATCATGTGCCCGTTGTAGACTGCGCGACTGTTGTCGGAGTATGATCGCGTGAGCTGGCCGGCCAATGAGATGCGCTCTCTATCAGACATCAGCTCGTCGTAGCCGCAATCCATCACGAACGTCAAAGGTAGTAGTGTTGACCTGGTGTGCTTGGCTTTCTTGCCTCGCCATAACACCAGTAGCTTGTCGACGGCTTCTTGGCCGCCTTTTTCCCTTGCCTCCTCAACCATAGCCTTGCGACGCTCCCGCTTTTCTATGAGCTTTTCTTTCTTCTGGGACTTTTGAAGCGCGCGCTTTTGCTCAAGGGCCGCCGCGCGACGCAGTTTCTTCATTTGATTTTTCGACATAACAGGCGGGGCTCCTTCAGCGTTATCTTGAGTTGTAGTTTCAGTGGTAGGTTTTGTATCCTTTTGAACCGTAAACTCTGAGACATCGAGAATATCGAGAGGTTCATTGCTAATCTGAGCGCACGCGGGCTCCGGTTCGTTGCCGGCAACATCACCAGCTCCAGTCATGGCAGGGCCGAGCACCTCGTGGGTGGTATCTTCGTCGTGGTCCAGTTTTGCTAATTTCCGGGGTCGCTCTTGCTCCTCCATCGTCGTCTAGTGGAATTGGCAAGCAAAAGACAAAGGTGGGCTGTCGACTGTAGATCAAAAGTTCAAAAAAGCGCCCGCCCCGAAACTCATCAACCAATGACGTGCGCCGCAGCCCTCATTACTGTGCAAACTTCACGTGACCATCCAGACCCAACTTCTCCAATCGTCACAGCGGCTCCTCGCTATCCCTCCAAGCCCTTTACCCGCTCATTACCGTCACAATGCCTCAGGATATGCCCCCAACGGGGGGCTACGCTCAAGTCCAGTACAAGGTAGGCCATACGACCCAGTTTCCGGGGTTCCAATGGCCCTGCGCACCCAGCACACAGACATCCAAGCTAACGGTTTCGTTTCTTACTTTCTACAGCGAAACGTCCCCGCCCGCGGCTTCAAGCCTGCCTACTACATGATTGGCATGCACGTTATCATGGCCTACGGTTTCTACAAGTACTTCCACGGTGTCCGTGAGCAGCGGTACGTTTCATCCAGCAAGATGCTCCTTTGCTACCTCCGATCGACCCGAGAGAACCGCAATTGGACCCCTATGCAAACCCGCTGGCAGAAGAAAGAAGTGAACTCAATGACTGATATGTGTTTGAACGATAGTGAGCTCGCCCGTGAGAAGATCTGGTCCCGTCTGCACCTCACTCCCCTCCTCCAGGCTGAGGAGGACCGCGACCAGGTTCGCCGGCACTACGCCGACAAGGCACGCGAGAAGGAGCTTCTCGGCACCGATGCCAAGGTCTACAACTCCGACCGGTATGTTCCGTGCAAGCGCGACTGGACGCTATATCGTTTCCGAAATTTATGCTAATCTTGCTTGCCTTGACAGCTTTATCCGCCCTACTTTCGCCTATACCCCTGCCAATCTCACTCAATAGACAGTCTGACAATGTCACACTTGTTTTGAACGATATTGTACCTCCGTTCCCTCGTTTTGACTCTGTATGATGCTGGTGTTTTAGGATGCTTGGTTGGGTGACCCCTTGCCTCCATGGTATACGGACTGAACTGGGCCTTTCTGATCGTTGTGAGAGAGCTAGAAGCATTGTGGTGGTAGTTGGGGTAAACCGTCTCGAATCCATTTCGAGGAAAACATTGTAGATATTACTTGCCTAGTGAAGGGTTTAGTTCAGTCTTTTGCAATATGTCTTATTTCTTTGCTCGTTTAAATCATCTTGGGGCAGAACTACAAATAAGGTAATAGTAGAGAACGTAATATATTTGTGCATAATGCTATGTGGTTTTTTTTATGATATCATCTCTTGCAAAGCGCCACTGCTCGCTAACGACGGGGGTAGTTGATAAAGCTGCAACGCAGATCCAGATAGGAGCAGGCCGAAATGTGACACTGAAAAAATAAGAGTCGGGCCGCGAATGGTGTACAGAATGGAAAATGGACCATCCATGGTATGAATGAAGAATCAACAAGCCCGATAGCACCACATCAATATCCCAACCTTTCACAATCCAAGAAGCAGATGATCCTTAGCCTATCCAAATAGATCAGCTACACCACCAAGATCGGGACCATCGTTAATATCGACACGGTGGTTCTGCTGCTGAGTTTCCATTTCATTGGTCATGTATCGCTCCTGCAATGCTGAACGGGCCTTACGACGTTCCTCGCGAGAACCCAACATCTTCCCTTGCTCGGCAATACTAATACCGCGCAGGGGCTCGAGAAGCTCCAAGACTAATGCGCGTTGCTGCCTCGGTGAGGTAGTGCGATGAAGTGCAGACTCGGTACTGGCGACTTTCTCTGCGCTGATTCCTGGCAAGCTCAGGAAAACAGCACGTGGGGTCTCGCTACAGAAGCCATAGAGACACCAAATTGATGCAATTAGCTGGGCGAGGTCCTTTTGCATATCGACAAAGTATGATTCATGTACGGATGAAATGCATGCTGTGAGGACATCAGTACATATGAATTCGCGGATGGTCGCGATAGTTTGGGTGTCCGGAGTATCGTTCGTAGGCGCAAAGTCTTGCAGAATTGACCGAATGACGCGGGTGATGATGCTACCGCTGCGCGTATCGCGCATGCGAAGAGCGTGCGTACAGAAGAGCATGACAGGCTCAAAAATCTGGGGGGAGGAGAGGACGAAATGGCGGATAGAATCAGAGAGGTTCGGGGTCGGCTGGGGTGCACTGGGATCCGATTCAGTCCCATCCGGGTCTGATAGGTCACGTTCCGTCAGTATTGGGTGGTTTATGCTTATGAGTGTTCGACGGATCAGGGAGTTTTTACCACCTCTCTGTGGATCGAATAGACTGGCTACCATGATCACAGCAGAGTAAGTCAACTGGCGAAGGACACTTTCGGACTTCATCTCCGTGGTGAGATCTCCGTCCGAAATTCCATTCCTACGTTGTTCAATGATTTCCCATTCTGTGGTGACTTTTCGGTCAATGTTGGTGAATAAAGTCGATAGCATGGGGGGCAAGAATTGGCTGCGGAATTGTACAGGGCAGTCGTCAATCAGACAACGCGAGATGTTGAGAAGAACCGAGAACTGGTGGGAGGAGAGATGCGGTGAGTCAACGAACAATGCTTCAGATAGGGGTCTTGGGAGTTCGGCGAATCCATAGAAGTGCTCTCGCATCCTGCTCATGCTGAATAGCATAGAGTAGCATGCTTCGCGGACAGCTCTGACTTTTCCTCGAACTGATGATGCAAACCCTTCAAGTGTAGATTTCGATGATGTGATTCTGGCGTAGAACTCGTCGCGGCTACCGACAGAAATACCAGCCTGCCAAAATCGATCTGTGAGGATACGTTCGACGACTGGTTGCATGCCTTCGACCATATTCCAATTGGTAGGATTGTGGAAGGCATGGGCATGTCTTGGAATTGAAAGTTAGCTTGATGGCATGAATCTGCTCTAGCATAGATAATTACCTGACAAGCTGCAGCAAAGTGGGAAGAATGACAGGGATCAATTCATGCCACATCTCGCAAGCGGTCACATAAGCTGGCGTAGACTTCTTGAGTCGATCTGTGGAAACAGCCAACATAGTCTTGGTGCCACGCAATGGCAACAGCTAGATAGAACGGGTCAGATTGGCCCTAGCGCGGAAAATGAGGTTTGGCTGTCTTTCTTACCTGGAATTTTCTTGTCATCTCTTCTTGGACTAGCCTTCCTTCGGCGTCCAAGACAACCTCGGACCAGTCTGCCAGTTTCTGTGCTTCTTTGGATTGCATGTATGGGCCTACATTTTCCAGTCCAAGCATGTTGCAAAACCCGGGGAAGGTGGAGCTGTTGTGCCGGAACTGGTCGTCTTGCCATGACTCCTGGATGGGCTGGAGGAAGGCTGCGAGCCGATTTTGACGCAAATAAGGATCAGCATTGATTGCGCGTTGCCTGTGTGGAGTCAGTACGGGGCAATTGAGATTGACAACATGAATGGGAAGAAATTTACATAATAATCAGCAAGATAGAAGTCAGTTCCATTTGCAACTTGTCATCAATGCGGTTAGCCAGTGTGATTTCTTTGATCTTTGGCTCGAGAAGGTCATAGAAAGTCTGCAGTGGAAATGGTTAGAGAGTACTGGACGATCAAGATTTGAGAATAGACATACGTAGAAATAGTCCGCATAACGCATAGCCAACCGACGAAGTTCAGAGCTTGCCAATCCATGGAGTTCCTTGACAGCTTCGGAATACAATGGGTATTCAGACTGATCTGGTAGACGTGACATGAGAATGTGTTCCAGAACTTTGAGGGCAAATCCTGGATGATTGTCCAAAGCCCTTGAAGAGATGTCGACGGCCAATTTGATGACTCTTTGTTTCAGGACCGGATCCTATGGCAAAGAGATGAGTGGATGAAACTTCTAGATTTGTGCACAATGACCTACCTCGAAAGACTTTTGCATCAGGGTTGAAGCCCATGTCTCTACCGCATGTTCTAATTCCATTCGTTTAGACTCCTGTCAGATATTAGCAAACGAATATGCATTTTTCTGCTTCATCCTCTTACATCACGTTGTGGTGCTTTCCCGTGAGCCGAAACCCACTTGTTGTAGCCCTTGATGACAGCCTCTACCACTGCAAACTGAGCATCCGCTCGCATGAGGGGAATCGACGATTTGGAGAAAGTTGCCACTATAAAATGAATGAGTCACCAAGTCCATAATTTATTAGATTGTTGGCACTCACTGCTAAATGGCCCAACGCCGCTATATAAGTTGTCGAGGTTAGTGTCCACCCGGGCAAGGATTTCGCGTACCGCTTCTTGAGGCCGCTTCAGGGTGATGATTTCGATGATCGAGGAGCAGTAACGGCGGTAATTGCCAACAAATGCATGTCGCTCGGGAACAGTATCAATGTCCTCGACCAAAAACTGCACCGTGGGATCATCGGATTCAGTCGGGAGAGACTCCCAACGAAGAAGCCGCTGGGTGCAAATGTTCAAGAACTGAGGGGTTTGTTCTTGCACGAAATCCAAGTTGCTAATTTTTGAGCTCTGCAACAGTCTCGACCAAAGATGCAAGCAAGGTATAGAGACCGTCAAGCTCTGGTGTTGCATAATGTTGGCCATGAATTGCAGGAATGGCGGCAGATTCAAACGGTCCATGTTAGAGACTAAAAACTTGTCATCTTCCAAGCATCCTGCAATATATGAGACCATCTCAGAAAGCTTTTTAGAGATAAGATATTTGGGATCATCAACGTCATCCGGACCCACGATTGACCATTCATAAAGCCTTTGAAGAACAACAAGGTATTCGGACTTAAAGATCAGGCAGACTAGATCGTGAGAGTCTTCGCTGCCGATAGTATTCCTTCCATAGAGGGCATGGAGTGCTTCGATTGCAGAGAGGAGCACCTGGTCATCTTGACAGGGCAAAGCTCGGAAAATGCTTGGGACAACCTGGGAGGCAGTAACACCTTTGTAGATGGACCATGACAATGCGGATCTCAAAGTTGCCAGAGCTTTTATAGCCGCGTCCCGAGCCTGTTCCGAGCTGGAGACATTCTGAACGCAATTGTCAAGAAATTCGCAGATACGAATGAGCCAGCCCTCCTGTCCACAGCGCGGAATTGTAGCGGTGTTTTTATCCCCGGCAACTTCCTCTACAATGTCTGCAGGGGTAAAGATCTCGATAAGCGACCGGTTGAGCTCACCTCCCCGTAGTGACGAAGCAGTATCTTCTCGGAAAAAGACATCCTCGGAAAGGGTCTCAAGAACGGCAAGTACCAGCTCTTTGTGTACAAGGGATGCACCCCAGAACTGAACCAGGTTGGCATCCATATCCATCCAGTCCAGTCCCCAGGTCTTCTTAGCGGCCTCGGTCCACAGTTGAGAGATCTTATTCCGAAAATAGGCAGGGTCTTCGGGGCGGACGTTCTCGGCGAGTTGCAAGATCATCATGCGTAATGTCTTGGCTTCTTCTGGGTTGGTGAAGTTGTATTGGCGAAGAACGTGATCGAGAAGAGTAAGACCGAAGTATCGGACAACAGGCTCATGTTCCATCCGGGAAGCCAAAAGGAAGCCATTTCGCGCCGCGGCATCCGATTCTTTCAAGTTCTCCACGAACTGCGAAGCCTCCTTCCGGATGTCATTTGACGACGCAGGGTTATGAATGAGTTGCAGGGCACGGATGATATCGGCCATGCCGCCCTCCGACAACTCCTCCGCAGCCATCTTGTCGACGCGTTGTAGAAGTATTTGGTGAACAAAAATGTAAAGTCTCGGTCTCGTGTCACTGTAGTAGACCGCGTCTCATAGTCAGGGAAGGGCAGGTAAGACTCGATGGCCGTTGAACTTGTCCTGTGTTAGTTTAGCAGTTCGGACACCGCAACGGCCATCCGCACGCGCCACTCGCTCTTTCCGAGGGGAGGGTGGTTCGAGGTTGAGGACCGGACTTGAAGTT